CCCGCTTGGCTCGTGCCCAGAAATCCTCAAAGTCCCTCAGTTCCTCCTCAGTTCACATATTTGAGGCTCACAATAGAACAGGAAGTGAAGTCGGATGTCTGAGCTGTGTTTGGAAACAGTTTGTGAGCAGCGGAGCCTGAACGCTCAGCGAGAGTTTCCTGGAGACAGGAAAACTTCTCCCGCTCCCAGAGAGGAGTCGCTTCCTTTTATGGCCGTGTGTGAACGACCTTTAGTTGGCGGGGAAATGAGCCGGCGGAGCAGGAATGTAAATGATTCCTCTACCTGCTGATGGTGCTGGACGGGGGGGGACATTCCTGCTTCCTGATGTCAGGTTATTGTGGGTTACTGTGCGACTCCTTTCAGTCACCGTGAGGAGGAGGAGGAGGAGGAGGAGGAGTTATCAGGCTTTGACCTAATTCAGGACACACAGCTGGATGTTTGAGCCCTCAGCTGCTTCCACTAATGAAAAACACATCTGATTTCCAGCAGGGGAAGAAATATTCACATATTTCACAACAGTCTAAAAATACTCTGATAGGAAGTAAAAATTTAAAGTGCTGCGTTCAGAATCTTAAAGGTACACTCTGTAACTTTCAATTTTAAACCCTGCTTTATTTCAGATGGTCAGTGTGCTCTTTTAAGTGTTACATGTGCACCATAACTCAGCTCTTTATGGCTTTAAAGTTAATCTAAAACTCTTTTAGTTCTTACAAGCTGATCTTCTTTTTATCAAGATGTCCAAGAGATTTGGAGCCAAAAGATACTTTAAAGGGCAACTTTGGTATTTTTCAACCTGAACCATATTTGATGTTTTTGTGTCTTTGTGACTAATGAGAATAATAGTTTTTAAATTGATCCAGATTTGAGCAAGAAATCAGTGAACCAGGCTGCAACGTTACCACTCAGGGCGCGTTCACACCGTCAATGAAAGGTTTTTGTCACTGACATTATGGAGTCTGGTGGGTTTGGTGACGGTGATTTCAGGGCTGTTTCTGGTTAAACAAAAAGGATCTTACTCTTTAACACAAAGCTCTATCTCTGTAGGGATCCTTTCATAATGTTGTCAAAAAAGTCACTCTGTACTTTTAAGTAAAAGTATTAGTTTCTTATAAATTCTATTGTAAAAATAAACGTCCCTACATATACTTATTCAGGGCTGAAAAAAGTCACCCAGGTGAAAATATTAGACACAAAAAGTTCTCCTCTAAAGATGCACGAGCTGATCATCAGCCTGAGGTAATGCAGTGACAGACAGACCTCAGACGTGCAGAGAGAACAGCGAGGATCCATAATCCTGATGGTTTAAGTGCTGCTGCAGACTGAAAGAGAGCCTTTATTTATCCCACCTGAAACAAACCTGCTTCTTATCTTGTTGGTTTAGCAGAGAGCAAACAGTCAGACATTTCTCACAGCTCGTTCTTGACCTGTGCAACACCTGTCTGAGTCACATGACAGCGACAGGATGATAAGGCTTTAGTAATGTCTTTATTCAGAGGATAATAACAGATGACGTCACTTCTAAGTGTGTACAGAGGCGCAGTACGTCCAACTCTTTGACCTGTTTTAAGTATTTATGTGCTGTGTATCACACTGATAAGTCAACGTATCAGTAGTCCTGGTCTCTACGAACAAAATGAAGCATCAGGTTTGGGTGTCACCTGCCCATTGGGACTGACCTCCCAAAAAAATCTTAACGTTGTCATTTCAGTAAATTGCCAAAAAACGTTAATGTTGCCATTGGAGTGAATGGATGGGCCAAACATCAACTATTCCACATGTAGGTGATATAATCCATCATAAACCTTTATTCACATCAAGTGTTCCTTCACATTCAAACAGCCTTGGTTCTACTGAACAAGACAATGTGCAATCATATGTATTTAAGTCATATTAAGCCAAGAATGTTTTCTATCATCTGTCACATTACAAACAAAAAAGAAAAGAAGAAAACCCACTATGCAGAATTCATTACTCGCAGGCTCCTTTTGGCTCTGATAGGCTAATAATGTATTAATAAAAAGTTTTTACTGCTGTGAAACCTACATAAAATATTAAATACAGAAACTGCACTGGATAAAACAGAATCTACAAAATCTGAATTACGGCCTATAATTCATAGGGATTATACATAACTCTGTTCAGCTGCCTGTCAATGCATCTAACAATACTCATATTAAAATCAATATTAATCTACAGTTGAATAAATTTAAATGTTTGACTTTATCTTAACCACCAGATCACACCATCAAAGCTAAGCTAAAAAAACAGAATGCTTAGCTAGTAACGTTAGCTTGTAGCAGAACTAGTTTAGCAGGAGTTTTCTTTTCACTTTTAACTTAATTTTGTCTAATTTAGTCGTAAAACCAACTGTAGATGTTTTATTAAAATTGTTTAGTTACGTATATAAGCAGATGAAAATTAAGGCTAGCCATGACTAACTCAACAGCTACATTAAAATCAATATTAATTAATAAATGTAAGATTTAAAGGTAGTTTAACCACCAAATTACACAAATAACGCCAAAGCTAGTATGGCTGTTACTGATGCTGTGCTAAGTATTAGCTTGTAGCAGAACTTGTTTAGCAGGAGGTTTTTTTATCTATTAAAACTTGATTTAGCCTAATTTAGTTATGTGTAAGAAACATCTGCAGATGTTGATTTATAAAATGGTTCAGTTACATTTAACAGCGAGGGAAAATCACCAAGTAAATTTAGCTTTAGCTTTAGCTTTAGCTAAGGCTAGCCGAGGCTAACTCACACTATCTTGATGTATGCTAGCTCTCTTGCTTTAGCTGTTTGCGATTATTTTAGTCTTTTTCCATTGAAATGTTCTTTGTATAATATTTTAAAATGTTTAATATTTTTATAACAGATGCCTAAAAGTCGGATTATTGTATTAACCCAATTTTGACAAAATATGTAGCTAGGTAGCTAACGTGCTTTGGTGTATGGAAATTAAAAACTGAATTCAGGTTATTATTAAGGCCTGATACATTTGTTTTTAGTTACATGTCATTATTATTATTATTATTGTTGTTGACACAACAAAACAAATTGAATATACCTGATAACAAATTAGACTTGTGATATTATAAATGAGCACGTGGCCTGTTAATCTGGGATCACAGTGAGATTATAAAAGAATTACTTTGGAGTCTCTGCATTGATCTGCTCCAAAATATGGCAGGTCACCATAAACAGCTGCCACAACAACATTTGATTTCATCATCTGAATCTGTGTAAATCTGCAGAGATAATAAACAAATTCAGGGTATTATTGATCTGATAAAAGGAGGTATTAAACGCAGGATAATCCCGAGGCTGTAGATCAGTGTGTCCGGTGTTCAGTCTGTGTGATCCAGTTGTGTCTGAGATGGTGTAAATGATGGTGTAGGTGTGTGAACACTTGAACACACGATTGATTATTAAATAATTATCACAAGCATTAGTTGCAGCTTTATAATCACATTCAAATCGGTAAATGCTCCTTTTATTGGAGGGATTGGATGCAGAGGGGTGTTGCAGTGCTTAGGGGCCTTTACAGATTTGCTTATTTGTAATTCTTGCTCTCTGTTTGTTGGTATTTTCATGTCTCCCAAAAACTTAATAAAATGTTAATCATTAAAAAAAAATAGATGGTTTACACCCAAATGATCAACTATTTATAGGTTTACATTATGTGTTAACAGTTGAATAACTACTAACTAAAGTTTAACTATGAATTTGAACTTTATTGATCTCAGATCTTTCTCAGTCTGGTTTGTTGACGTTCACTCGTCAGCGCCTCCCAGTGTGGAGAAGATGAAACTCTGTACGTCCTGGGTGTGATGGTCTGCACTGATTTTCTTTGCCTATTTCCTGATTTTGGGGGTGTCTAAGTCCTGGAGACTGTGTTAGCTGTGGCTCTATGAAAGGGTTAGCGTGTTTCCCGGCTGTGTGCACAGTTACTCAGGGTGTGTTGGTGAATGTGTGTATGTGAAATTTTCCCATTGAAACATGACCTCAGCAGGGACACGGTGGAAACAGACACACGTACAGAAACAGTGTTAAACAGGAAGCTAAAAATATCACACAGTCTTTTACAGACAGCAAGATTAAGTTAGGCTTTTTCCTAAACACACCTCCTCCTCCTTCTAACAGCATTTTATTTTATTATTAGTAATAAATAACATAATTAAATATTATTTAATATTTACATGTCTCTGAATATGAGCAGGAAATAGTCATATCGCCCTACTCATTCTTTACAATCTCATATATTTTACTATTAATTTTAAATCATTTTTCTGTAAAATATATTATGATACAAACAATTATATATTATTTTATTTGTTTATTTTATATATATATATATTTTTTTAATTGTATTTATTTATTTTCCCACCTTGTTTATTAGTTTCACATTTAAGAAAACCTGTATACACTTTTTTTTTCACCCCCAGGGAAACAAACAGATTCTAGTATGAGATAATGATGTGCCCGCACAACAAAAAATAAAAAAGAAAAAGAAAAGAAATTAAATTAAAAAATGAAATAAAAATGTTATATATATTATTTAGATATAACCTAAATAATAAGACATATTACCTCACTTTCATTCTGCCAACCCGTCCTTATCACTACTCCTTTTTTAATTTTTTTTTTGGTTTGAATTCTTTAAACTTTTCCTTAAATTTACCCCACAAATTAAAATACACATCATCTTCACAATGGTTTCAATTAAACTTTCTTCCCGTTCTGAGAACAGTTATTGTATGTTACACAGAAATAAACACTTTTATTTTGTATAAATATAAAATTATTTAGACTTTATTTCATTATTTGCTCTGTATTATTTTTTGTGGTGAAGCCAAACCCCTGTTGTTTAAACAGAAGGACTCTGCGCCCCCTGCTGGGCCTCCTGTGACTCTGCAGCACTAAGTCAGAGTGAAGTGTTCATGTTCACTGATGCTGAGATGGTAAAACATCCTGATGACCTGTTGGTGTGGTTGTGTTCCAGGTGAGCTGCTGAGCCAGCCGAGGCCCGACGGTCTGACCGAGATCATCTGTCCAAAGAACGGCTCGGAGCGGGTCAACGTGGCTCTGGTTTACCCTCCGACACCCACCGTGCTCAGCCCCTGTCTCAAGTGATCCAAGGGGGGGCCGGCTCATCTCACTGTTTCACCAGAGCCTCCACCTCCACCTGTGCACCCCCCCTCTGTCAGCCTGCTTCATGCCCCCACCACACTGAACTGAACCTCCTGAAGGCAGCACGCTGGATCACTGCCTCACATGTACGTACTCTGTAACACATTCACACTTTAACTTTTTACTCTGCTGCCAGATGAACATGTGGTATAATCCACACTTATCTTAGAGGAATAACTGAATAACAAATTATAACAATGGCAATAATAATAATATAAACAAAGAAACAGAAATGTTATTTATACTTTTTAAATATTTGTCATTCATACGAAAACGACAAATCTCAGCAAACACGCAGCTGAGGACTAAAATATTTGAGACAAGTTCATGCAGACACATTTAACAGCAGCTCTGAGTGACCACATGATTAATCACATGAGATATCAGAGCAGGTGCAGCCAATCAGAGACAAGAATTTAACCTACATCTGCAGTGTATCCCCATACATACAGACATATGATAGCTAATGGATTAGCAGCTCACAGGTTAGTGCTCCTGCCAGTCTGTTAAGAGTTAGGAAAAGAAACATGCTTGGACATTATCACGTTATGTACTTAACATAAAGTTACATAGCTTAGGTGTAGGAAAAGAAATATGATTGGACGTTAACATGTTACGTATGTAACGTAAAATACATACTTAACATAAAGTTACGTTGGTAAGGTTTAGGAAAGAAAAGTTACATAGGTTAAGTTTAGGCAAAGGAACATGGTTGAGCATCGTCATGTTATGTACTTAACTTAAAATTATGTTCTTCATGTAAAGTTACATAGTTTAGTTTAGGACAAGCAACATGGTTGGACGCTATCACGTTGCGTACATAACATAGTTACGTACTTAACAGAAAGTGACGTAGGTTCGGTTTCGAAAGGAAAAGTTACACAGGTTAAATTTAGGCAAAGAAACCCGGCTGGGCATCGTCATGTTATGTACTTTACGCAAAGTTATGTACTTAATGTGAAGTTACATACTTAATGTAAATTTACATAGGTTAGGTTTCAGAAAAGAAAAATGGTGAGACCTCATCACATTATGGACTTAACATAAAGTTACATACTTAACATAAAGTTATGTAGGTTAGGTTTCGGAAACGAAAAATTGGTTGGACACGATCATGTTTTGTACGTAACATAAAATCTAATATTTAACGTAAAATTACTTAGGTTTAAGAAAGAAAGGTTTCATAGGTTAGATTTATAAAAGTAAAGTTACCAAGGTTACGTTTAGGAAAAGAAACATGGTTGGATGTCATCACATTATGTACGTAATGTAAAGTTACGTACTTAACATAAAGTTACAGAGGTTAGGTTTTGGAAAAGAAACATGGTTGGACATCATCATGTTACGCACTTAAAATTATGTTCTGAATGCAAAGTTACGTAGTTTCGGTTTAGGAAAAGAAAAACGGTTGAATGTTGTCACATTATGGACTTAACATGAAATAACATAACATAAAGATACTTTAGTTAGGTTTACGAAAGTAAAGTTAGGTTACGTTCAGGAAAGAAAAGTTTTGTGGGTTAAGTTTAGGCAAAAAACGTTACGTTATGTACTTTACATAAAGTTACATAGGCTAGATTTTGGAAGGGAAAATAGTTGGACATTATAACGTAACATACTGAACATAAAGTTACGTACATGGTAAAGTTATGTATGTTAGTTTTAGGAAAAGAGGCATGGTTGGATGTCATCACGTTATGTACGTAATGTAAAGTTACCTACTTAATGTAAAGTTACGTTGGTTAAGTTTAGTCAAAGAAACATGGTTGGACGTTGTCATGTTATGAACACAATGTAAAATGTAAAATTACGTACTTATAGTCATTTTATTTGTGAGAAATCCTGAATATCTCCAGCGGGACTGATTATGTGTAATACCTTGTGTGCTGTTAATTTCTTCGTATATTAATTTAATATGTCTTCTCATGTTGCAGGTTGTTCGGCTGTGTCTCTGATGTGTCATCACGTGGACATCGAACAGTATTTAAGGAGCACAAACTGTAGCATCAGCGAGGCCTCGTCCCTTTACTGACCCACCATGGTTCACACGTCTCTCAGTCTCTGGACAATAAGATGATTTTTTATTTTGAACTCTGAAAAGACTCTTTGAATCATTTCTACACGATGAAGCAAAAGTACAAACTTGTTTTTAACGCTGAGAAACTTGTTTAATCGTGGGCCAGATTTCTGCCAAGTGTCACCTCGGAGCTTTTTACTGGACTGAAATAATCTGCAGTATGTTTAAATGTGTGACCTCGGCTCTTTGTGTAAAGTGTGACAACATGAAAATGTGTTGAATTTCAGTGCAAGAAGAGGAACTGCAACGATGTGTAAATATTTCTCTGGGCCTACATTTCAGGTTTGGAGGTGGGGCTGTGTCGGGAGCTTAGCTGTGATTTCAGATTTATTGAGAGGTTTAAATCCCAGCTGTTCATATAGACACCACTCCAATGTCTGCATGCTATATATGAAGCTACAGCCAGTAGCTGGTTAGCTTAGCTTAGCATAAAGACTGGAAACAGAGGGAAACTTTAGCCGAATTAAACACAAAATGTGACACATATAAATAAGATAAGGTTTCAGTATCAATATGTAATGTCCAGAGACAGTGTGGCTGGCTTAAGGGATTCTAAGTTTCACATCTGTACAGTCAATATGAGGCTACAGCCAGCAGGTGATTAGCTTAGCTTAGCATAATGACTGTAAACAGAGGGAAACTGTAGCCAAATTAAACATAAAATGTAAACAAATATAAATAAGTTAAAATGATGATTAAGTGTCATTGTTTAATGTGAAGACACAGAGAGGAAAATTAAAATCACACATTTTTAAAGGGAGATATGTGACTTTCTTCAGCCAGCAGCTGGTTAGCTTGGCTTAGCATATAGACTGTAACCAGGGCAAATTGTAGCCCAATTAAACATAAAACAATAACAAATATGTATAAGTTAAAATGACATTTCAGTATCATCGTGTAATGTCCAGAGACAGCGAGGAAAATTAAAATTGCAGATTTTTGAAGGGAGTATTGCTATTTCTTCATCCAGCAGCTGGTTAGCTTAGCATAAAGACATGAAACAGAGAAAGTTTAGCCGAATTAAACATAAAGCAATAACAAATATGAATGAGTTAAGATGAGTGTTCAGTATCAATATGTAATGTCCAGACACAGTGGGGAAAATTAAAATCACAGATTTTTGAAGGGAGTTTTGTGACTTTCTTCAGCCAGCAGCTGGTTAGCTTAGTTTAGCTTAGCATGTAGACTGGACCCAGGGGGACTGTGTAACTGAATTAAACATAAAACAATGACAAATGTGAATGAGTTAAAATGACATTTCAGTATCAATATGTAATGTTGAGACAGAATGAGGAAAATTAAAATCCCAGTTTTTTGAAGGGAGTTTTGTGACTTTCTTCAGCCAGCAGCTGGTTAGCTTAGTTTAGCATAAAGACAGAAAATGGGGACATTTAAACTAAATTAAACATAAAACAATAACATAGACAGACAGCTGCTGTTTAGCCGAGCTAAGCTAACCAGATGCAAAGTGACACAGCTCCAGCTCCATTATAACAGGAGAGAGGTGCGATGTTCCTGCAGCAGAAAATCACTTCTCTGTGAAGAAGTTTGGTGGAGCATGAGATGAACTTTAATGCCAAGGATGTGGGAGCTGAGTGGAGATGAGATCAGATATTTATCCACAGCGTCCCGCAGGTCTATCAACTGTACATAGAAGGACGAGAAGGCAAAGAGCATCAGGTGTTAGCTTCACCTCACCCCGTCTCTTCAGATTCATTTCTGGATGTTTTTTTCACTGAACTGTGTCGAGGGGATTTTTTTTGTCCGATGTAAATAATATCTTTATTTTTGTATGTTGACTCGAGGTGTCGCCACTCTTTGAGCTTTGACTTTATTTACAGTGCAATGTTGTGCATGACTCACTGTGAGAGTGCACATGGGGTTTTATATGTAGCTGGTTCCAACATCTCACAGGACAACATGAAATACCAAATAAACCAATAACTGGCTTTAGTACCACTGAACTCTGCTGTCTTTATTTTACAAAGTGCATCTGAACACATGGAAATGTTGCCACTATACGTCTCTGTAAAACACAGGTACGTTTCATACGTTTCATACATCAATGTTTCTAAAGTGACTGTCATCAGGAGGTGGAGGTGATGGAGGACGGTGTGACAGCGAGGAGAGACACCTGCCAAGCTGCAGACCGCTGGTCAACACCAACAACACAAGTGGTTGTTTTTATATGTAGACATCGCTGCGTTTCCTGCCAGGATAGTGCCATGAAGAGAGTTGGGGTTTTTTGGTTTTTGTTTTTCTTTTGTTTGTTTTTTTGTTTTTTTACAACATCGATGCCAGGACAGTGCCACGGAAACTTTGTATTATTTTATTTATTTATTTTTTACGGTGCTATCACTGTGTCTCCTGCCAGGATAATGTTATGAAACATTTATTTTAATTTTTTTTTCCTTTTTTTGTATATGGTGATTCGGCTGTGTTTCCTGCCAGCATAGTGCCACGACAAATTTATTTTATTTTAAATTTATTTTATTTTAATTTTTTTTATTTTTGTCACTGTCAGGGCACCCAACAACACATGTTGCTCTGAGAGATTTCTTTTTTGACAGATTATTTTACACCTCACCGTTCACTTTTAGCTCCAGCTATATGTCTTCACTGACAAAACAACATTGTTTTCTTAAAGAATGTGATCATCTATATCATCTTAGCATTCTATATTATTTTTCTGCAACACACCAGGAGACAATTTGGTGTCAAAACCAAAAATTGATATGTACGTACTGTATATATGAAAAATAATGGGCTCTTTGAAAATGTTTTCTCCTTGTTTTCTTCTCTTTCTCTCTGAGTGGTGAGCAAATACCATTTTCACAGTGTAGCAAATGATAGAAAATGGATTGAACAGTGGTTTCAGAGAAGATTGCACGTGGATTTCAGTGAGCTGAGTAGAAATGCTGTCTTCAGCCTGCTCAGGCACATACATTTGAGCACTTAATCCATATGTCACCTCAGTGACCCAAGATCTGCTGAGGAGGCAAGTGTGTAACCAGAACAAAGGTTGCTGGATGAGGGATGTGAATGAGATGCTTTGTTCCTTCCCTCAATAAGGTGGATGCAGGCCTGCGGGAACATACTTTCGCTGAAGGGATGCTGCACTGTATAAATACATTACTGAATTACTATGTATGTACAAGAGCTTACACAGAGGCTACAGGAAAAATCCACAGATGTACTTACATTAGTGGTTCCATCAGCTGTTAGTCAGAAGCATGTGCATCCCTTCACTTCACTCACTATTTCTCTATGGACTGCATGTGTCAATATTTCTAATATTGCATTTTGAATAGAGCCAGACATCTTGTTGTCCCGTTGCCACTCACTTCCATGGGGCAAATCATATGTCCACTTGTCATCTGCTCCATCAATAATGTAAGTGACCATAAAACTCCATCCCAGTGGCTATATGCCCTCACACTGTAAGTCCCTTGCATCCAAGGAATTTTATGGATCCAAAAAGCAGCTTCAAAACTGTCTTTTTCTAACTGTTTCTGACTGTTGATTAACTCCAACTATCAAAAATCTCTTTCCCAGTTTAGCCGACCCATAACCTGACCCCGACACTTGCACTGTGACCTAATGTAGTCTATAGTCTTTTTTTCATATATTTTCTTACAGACACCTTATCATATGCACTTCAACGTTTAATGTTCAGCCCAATAATTACGGTTAAATATCCAACTATTTACAGACTGTGTTGTTCAGCCCCTTGTCAATAGGGGGTGCTGCGGCACACCCAGCATCCACCTTCCCACACCTGCAGGTAGAAAAACATGGACAGTTGAAAAATGACCACACGTAGAGTCATATTTATTTTTGCCTGTTTGCAGCTGTAAACAGAAGCTGTATGCAGAGAAGCTGCCCAACACCAGCATCATCATCCCGTTCCATAACGAGGGCTGGTCGTCGCTGCTGAGGACGGTCCACAGCGTGCTCAACCGCTCCCCTCCACAGCTCATTGCAGAGGTCATCCTGGTAGACGACTTCAGCGACAAAGGTACAGAGGACACACACTCACACACTGTGCCAGAAAAACAGTGTCTGATTTGTGACGTTTCCATCAGTGACTTCTGTTCACAACACAGTGCACTTTCTCATTATATTCAATAAGATAAATAAAATTCACCATGCGATGCTAAAACCTTGTAGCATCAAGAGGCAGGTAAACATACTGACTGAAGAATAATAGTATCTTATTGAATGGACCTGAGTCACAGAAGCCTCCATGTGTAGCAGTGGCTTGTTTGTTTAGTGTCTAGTCAGTGTTTTCTGGGAAGGGAGGAACTCATTTGTATTCCTGACGGTGCTGACAGGTGAGCATGTTCTCCATCCATCAGGGGACTGGGAGTTAAAATTTCAAGGGATTGCGAGGAAGAGTTTTCCAGCCAAATAGCAGAAAAGTAAAGTTACTGATCAGACCAAAGACACAATAACTACCCAGCCAGGGGGCGAAGAATTCAGGGTTCCCAACCTCCTTTGAAGCCTCATACACTTCTGAAAGAAAAACTCCTCGTCCAAGAGGGTTTTAAAAAATTTTCAGTCTGTCTCTGACCTCCTCACATTCAGCCTCACAAATCCACCTAAATTATGTAAGCTCTGGTTCTGAGATATTAGCATGGGAACATTCACAAAGAAGAGACTAAACCGGGCCGCTGGAAACTAATCTAATCAGCAGACTATTGGGAATTTCTTAGATGATAACTTGACATGCTGGATCTCTCTTTCTGCCACCAGAGATCAGGTTTAGGAAAGGGTCAGTCACAGTGATAAAACATACTGTCAGCTGTTGATGAAACCTGTCTTAATGAAATGCATAGTGAGCCTTGCAAGACTACAAGCACCATGTGGACTGGTTTTGTGGAGAGACCTCACACTTTCATCTGAGAATGGCACATTATGTGAGACATTTCAGCTCTAAAGCTCAAACCAGAAAACAGAACAAGTAGAATCATTACAGCATTTTCCATCGACTCTAAGCAGCAGAGAAATGTGCCAAAAGTTGGGTGAGCATTCCTGTGAAAGCCCAGAGTTCGTGCTAAATGATGTCTGACCTAAAGTACCTTTAAGCTGCCCATCCTTCTCTCACCCAAGCAAAGAGAAGACACTCTGTGGCTTGGCCTACTCTGATATCTGCTTTATGCTACATTGTGTACTGGCTTGATAGGTTCAGATGAATGCCAGCTATCTGCGCAGTTGTCGAACCACCATCTGTCTTACCAATAGCCACTAATTAGCAAACCGTTTGGTGTGAAATACTCCTCATGAATCATGTTCATTGAATGAGTCTTCAAAAGAAACAAACTTTATCTCAATATTTGGATTTGATTAAGATTCAAGAGCTGTTTATTTGCCATTTACTCAACTACAACTACAAGTGCATGTGTGTGTGTTTCGTACCTGCTCAGTTCCAACTACCCCAACAAACTTTTCGTGCAGTCTCTGACTGGGAGGGTTGGCATGTATTGCTCTAAGAAAGTATATGGATATAATAAAGATATGATTAAAATATTTAGTATATATATATATATACAGTACAGGCCAAAAGTTTGGACACACCTTCTCATTCAATACGTTTTCTTTATTTTCATGACTATTTACATTGTAGATTCTCACTGAAGGCATCAAAACTATGAATGAACACATGTGGAGTTATGTACTTAACAAAAAAAGGTGAAATAACTGAAAACATGTTTTATATTCTAGTTTCTTCAAAATAGCCACCCTTTGCTCTGATTACTGCTTTGCACACTCTTGGCATTCTCTCCATGAGCTTCAAGAGGTAGTCACCTGAAATGGTTT